TTCAAGTTGAAGACGAGCATGGCGCGGCGTCCCCGGCGGTCCATGGCCTGCACGAGGGAAGAGAGGAGGGAAAGCGAGGAAGGATCCGCCTGACAGGCTGTGTACGATGGCGTTGCCATTGCGCTTATGGACATATCCTCTCCTATCCCACCTCCTCCCTCATCACGGCGCCGTCCTTCCCTTCCCGTTCCATCATAAGGCCTTTGGGACGAGGAACTCGACAGGATCTTGGAAAAAGGATCAATCACCACCAAGGCCACGTCAATTTCCTTCAAGGCCCGGTAGGTCCGCTCTTTTTTCTTCTCTCCCAACGCCCCCACGTCATCGATACCCGCCGTGTCGAGGAGCTTCACGGGGCCCAGGCCGTGCAGTTCCAAGAGTGCAGCTTTGACGTCGGCAGTGGTGCCGGGAGTGGCATCGACAATGGAGGTGGCCTGCTGGGTGAGTGCATTCAAACACGTGCTCTTGCCCGCGTTCATTTCCCCCACCAAGCCGATGAGGAGGCGGTGCAGCCCCGTCGAGGGAGGCGCCTTGGCGGTAGCCGACGAAAAAAAAGAAGCAAGAAGCGAGAGACATGGAGTACGTAAACGTCTGAAAAAGGATGACGGGATGGAGAGGGGGGAAGGAGGGCAGCACATGGGTGAGAGGGGTTACTTGTAATGTTGAGTGCCCGAGAGCTCTAAACGTTCAAGCCACCCTTCTCGAAGGTCAAAATATATGCCTGTCTACCTGACTGCCACAAGGCACACTGTAGGAATGCATGCCAGTTGTGACACGAAACGCACCTGAACGCTGCACTGGGCGGCATTCTTTCTTTCGTGACGTTCTGAGCTTCAACTCAGCGCCAAAGGGCTTGTTCTGACCGCGATGCCTGTATTAACAAATGTCTTTCAAAGCCTTTGCGCTGCGTTGGCATGGCCCGTGGCCGTGCGGGCATTGCCTGTATTGCCGGCGGGGGTGGCACGGGTCGTGGGAAAGGAAGGGTCGTGGGAAAGGAAGTTTAAACGAAGCCAGCAGGTTCAAAAGGATGTCGTGCATCGCTCGTTTCCAGGACCCTCGCTTGAATGTTCTACTTTCTTCTTTTTTCAAGGCTATATTCTGACAAATATTCCGTCACCAACACATCCTACGGACACAAATGCAGATTTAGGGGGCTATGCGCGGCCTGCGTCTCCCGAAGCGGGTTATTGCGCACCGTGGAACCGGCACATCGTCTGCATTCGCTCCTGTCAACCTGGCGCGGCCCAGACTGTCATTTTTACGCGCCCGTCCCACCGCAAGCAGCGGAAGCTCTGCTTTTTCCGACCACGCACCCACCCCAAAAAATGCCATCTCAAATTCAATTCCAGAGGCGCACGAGGAGCTTGTGAACGTGGAAGTCAATGGACGGAGTATTGCCGTTCCAGCGTACTCGACCTTATTGGAAGCCGCCCGGGCCGCGGGGGCCTTCGTGCCTACCTTGTGTGCACACCCTTCCATTCCTGCGCGCGCCACGTGCCGCATATGTTTAGTGGAGCTCGAGACCGACCACGGGGTGAAGGAGGTGGTGGGCCCCGCGTCGGCCACGGACGTGAGGAGGGTCACGAAGCTTGTGCCCGTCACAAAGTTGGTCCCTGCCTGCGTGACGCCTGTCAAGGAGGGTTGTCGCATCCACACGCATTCTCCCGACGTGCTGAGCAATGTACGCTTCGTGCTTCAGCTCCTACGGGCCAAGCATCCCAACACCTGTCAGACATGTGACGCCGATGGGAATTGCACTTTTCAAGACTTGTTGTATCGGTATCAGGTAATTCGATTCGCTATTTACCAGCCCTCCCGTGGTATCGCGTGCACCTGTGAAAATACATGGATTATGCACTCTATGGTCTGTGTCTCCACTCCTTTCGAGAGGCCGGCTCATTTAAAAACCAACACGTACCTCTCCCCCTCCTCCTGCGCCTCCTCCATCTTTCCCAGGTAGAAGACGTCGCTCCCCCCGGAGTCCGGCGCACCTTCACGCACCACCATGAATGGGACGGCGGGGCCAGCATTGCCGCCGCTTCGGACAGCCAGGGCCCGATGCCCTCCGAGGAGGATCCTTTCAATGCCATTACGTTCGATCCGGACAAGTGTGTCAAATGCGGGCGATGCGTGGCGATCTGCCAGCGGATCCAAGGGGTGGGGGCGATCGGTTTCGTCGGGCGAGGGGTCGATGAGCATGTGTCGACCACGCGGGGGCTGCCGTTGGACCGGACCAAGTGTATCGAGTGCGGGCAGGTACCGGGGGGGGGGGAACGTAGCACAGTGAGGGGGTTT